GCCTAAAAGTTGTTTGCTTAGTAAAATATTTAGTTATGACAAAATGTTTTTTGGGAGTTTTGGTACAAGTGATCTACAGTAAGAGTTAGAGATTGATTATGTTCACTTCCAAGTCTAAAAATTTCCTTGTCCATAAAAATCATCTTTGCTATAAATTTTACCTTTTGAAATTATTAATATTATAAATCGTTGTATTGAATAATTGAATTTGTCTTGTTCTCTGATAGTTTCTTGTTAAATACCAGTTTTTAGTCGTTAAAGTAAAAATGCCCAAATTGTTATATCACATCCTCTTTTATTGTATTTTGAATTGATTAAACTATTGATCAATATCATAATTATTAAAATCGACTCACTAATAATTTTGAAATCTCGTGATACCTAAATTGTAATCCAAATCGTGACTAAATCGTGACTTCAAGATAACCTGATCAAATAAGAATAGTATTCATAAAGAAGACGTATAACCTAAAATAATCCCAAGACCTAATTCAACAACCTAAATACCTACTCAAGTAACCCTAAACTCAGACCAAGTTAATCCTCGCCTCTTTCAAGCCTTTCTAACTTAGGGTTACACTTTAGTTAGATTTTTGGATTATTTGGATAGTTAGATTAGATTAGTTAGTCATGAACTTCTGTGTAACCAAACCTCCAGATGAGTTCTAGCCTAGAACCAATTAAGACTTTTTCAACATCAAGAATAATTGGACAATTTATAGATGGGTATTATATGGATATGACAACAGTAAATATACTATATGTCAATTTAACAATAACAGGATAATGAGGGGGTTAGTTTAGTGAAGGTATTATGTATTCAGTGTTTTATATAATAGCAATCAATAATATTTTTAATAAAGATTTCAATTTATTTAATGAGCGAAACTACCAAGAGTTGTTCTTTATTACAAGCGATTATGCTCTCAATATATACAATTTATAGCACTATATTTTGCATAACTCTTTTACAATTTATAATACTTAAACTTATTTTAATACTCTAATGTCTCAAATGTCCTAAAATTATTAAAATTCACTAATTCCCTATAGCTCCTTTCCTCCCTTAATCTCTTTAACTTATTAAAACTCTCTTATACTTCTTATTACTTAAAAGAGTTTTAGCTCTTTTATTCCTGAGAAATCTATTAAAGGTTAGAGATCTGCATACCCATTGTAAAGGTCTCTGGAACCCCTGACCTTACTAATTCAAAGCTGCCAATCTGTTTCTTTTTATATATTATTTTTATTATTATTCTTTATCTGTTTTATAAAAATATATTTAGCCAGCTCGCTTGTAGTAATTAACAAATATATATGATAGTCTTATCTCGAAATCTGTAAAAAATTATCATTACTATAAATAGAACAAATTAATATGATATATGTAGCATTTATAGCATATCGGACATATAGGGCATTTGATACATTAGGGTAGCTGTGCAGCACGTGATGCAGTGTAGAACTAGTACGATCATATGACTTTTTTTTAGATATGTTTAATTTGATATTAATAATCATAAATATGTTTTAAAATATTTAATCTGTTAGTTTAGTTTATGTAATATTTATAATCAAAGTTCTTGTATGATTCAAAATTATTATGTAATATTATTGTATTTTGTTAATTGAACTTTATAAAAGTTTAAACATTATGAATATTTGTTAGTTGTTTTATAGTTTTTTTTCAACAAGTTATTTATATATTGTTATATATAGAATCAATACAAATATTTTATTAGTTATTTTAGTCAGTTTTTGTATTGCTAATCGTGATAAAATTGAGTATATTTATTAAAGACAAACAAAGTAATTTGTTAAGTAATCAATATGTATTTTTCATTGTTCAAATAATGATAAGTAATATTATTAATATTAAGCAAATTCTTATCTATTACTATTATATGATGATAATGGTAAGAAATGATTAATTAAAGCTAAGATCAAATAAACATCTAAATTTTTGTTGTTAAAAATCAAATTATCATATAACGACTTATTATTATTTAATGTTTAAAAAATTAGATAATTTTAAGTAATATTAAATAAGAATATATAATAAATCTGTTTATTACTAGTACTTATGATTGAAAGTTTACATGAATTCATTGTAGTTAAGTTTAATTTAATTTATATTCTGTAGTTAGTAATATTATATTAGTATTATGCTTAGCAGTGTTAAATACAAATTATGTATATATTTAATGTTATTATTATAGGTGATTACTTTATTTATTATTTTGTTATTCAAAATTAGTAGTTCACGATATCATTTATTAAAGCAATTTGTACAATATTGAATAACATTTTTTGGGAGATCAAAGGATATTATATAAACAGTATATATTAAAATAAGTATTAATAATTTGAGTTGATTAATGTTAATCTGGTTATTTGATTGTTACAGGATAATTTTTAGTAATATTAGAATTTATAGTTGAGTAAAGGTTAGTATTATTTAGAAGGATATTTCTTTAAGAGGTATTAAATGTAGTATTTGTAAAAATGAAGTAGATCGAGTTTATATTTATTGTTTAATTGTCTTTTTCAAGTTTGGGTATTATTTTTTTTAATTTTTTTTTCAAAAGTAAAGGGGTACATTATGAGTATTTTAAATTGAGAAAGAATAAAGTAGTTAGCTAATAGATATTTTGATATTGTAGATGTTCTGTTATAGTTAGTTACTTACAAGTAATTTGAATTGGTAATAAGTTTCAACTATAATCATTATTATTAATATAGTAATATATCAGTGAATTTGCAGAATTGAAAAGATAATTTAAGGAGTAAATAGATACAATAACATGTAGTATAAAATTTATACTAAGTGTTTTACCCCTTAAATTATCTTTATATATAGTTCATTTTGCAGATAACTTTGAGGATACAATTTAGAATCGATTCAGGACCAATTTTACAAATCCGCCAATATAATGTATCATTAATTTGGTAATATGTTGTTAATTTTTAAATTATAGTCTAATATAGGATTATAGTCATTGTGATATAATATTTAATAATTATTAATAATTTGATAATCTTTAAGTTATAGTTTAACATAAAATTATATTCATTATAATATAATTATCATATTATCATTCTATTATATAAATAAAAGATATTTTTTCTAATCGTTTATTTTTAATATTTTAATTCGAAGCATATCTTGTTATGTTGATAAAATTGTAAAAATCAATTAGATTCATCAATCTAATAAACAAGAATCAAAGTTAACTAGCATATAGGTAATTGGCATTTATTCTATTGAGAGTAAAAATCATAAAATAGAGATAGTTTTGTTTATTCTGACAAATGAGTATAAGAGAGATCCTAATACACAGTCTGTTTTTAAAAAAGATAAATATTATAGTGTAGGCAAAAAAGTCATACTCAGAAGTCATAATAGAAATCTGAAATTAAAGATGATTAATATTATTTTATTTCCATATAATTCATAAGAATAATAATAAATGATTTATTTTTACTAAATTAGATGACTGTTGTATTATCAACTTATCTTTCGATCAAAAAAGATCCTAGTTCGAATAGATATCTTTTAAAAGTTTCATTAGTTGGTATCATAGAGGATATAGCACAAGAAATTAATGATGAAAATGTAATAGTTAGAGTATTAGTAAAAGATTAGATTAGTTAAAGTAATAGTTTTATTGTTAAAGTTGTATTTCTGTATCGTAATAGTTGATTCAGGTATTTGATAAATTCTGTTCAACTGAATGAATCAGTGCTCTTTGTAATAGGGCAAATAGAAATTATACAAAAGGATTTATATGTATATGCTGTTGAGACTTCTTATATCAATTTCCATTTAATAAATAAGAAAAAATTTATAAGTTCAAATAATTTTAATCTACATCAGGACTATACAAGTTGGTTCAATCAAGACTTATGACTGCTCACCAAAATGCTAATAAAAACTTACCCAAGGCATATTAATAGTTGAAAATTATAGTAAACATGAGGAAATGAATCAATCTGTAGTCAGTTCATTATCTATTTTTGATTCCTATTCACTCAAACATGCAAAAATAGAGGATATAGATTTAGATCATATTAATTCAGATTATGTAAAGAATAAAACTATTAATAAACATAATGAGAAATATGTGAAAAATGATGAATTAGGAGAAAATATTACTAGTGAAAGCAAAAGAAGAGGTGTAGTTATAAAAAAACTAATAAGAGAGAAACTAGTTCTCCTATTGTACATAATATGAGATAACATACTGAGATATTTAAAACTGTAAATAATAATGAAGATAGGAATGAGTAGTTTTTTGAATTTTCATAACATACTGTTTTTTTATTATATATTCAGATACTTCTTTATAGCACCAAAGCCTAAATAAAATTATCTTTATTTATTATATGTAATTCAAAAAAAGGAGAATTTGTGTAATTTTAGATAGTAAATTGATAATTGAATTTTATTTGAATTAAGAAATGATATATTAATATTTTAAGATCATTACATTATTTACGATATAATTAAATGAATAAAGTATAAAATTTTGTATTAAATTTAATATATAGTTTCATTTTGTTTTATTTATATATTTTATAAGTTTTTTTTCAATAATACGTAAGTTTTAACTTGTATCATTTGTCATTTTGCATATTTTTGTCTTTATTGATATTTATTTATAAGAACTTTTTTTTTATTATCATTATTATGCTTTAGTATTATACTAATCATATATGAATAATGTGTTAAAATTAGTCTATACAATTCTTCATAATATGATTTGTATAATTTCAGATTTTTAGCTATTATTGCTCAATCTATTTATTACAAAACATATTTTAAGAGATATACATTGTCAACCTTAGGTATCCACCTCTTCAAGGATTCCTAGTGACTGCTGATTATAGTATGAAGACTATAATATTTTACA